CCTTGGACATGTTGCAAGGAGGGACCAGTCCTTGGAGAAGGACATCATTCTTGGGAAGGTGGAGGGACAGCACAGGAGAGGAAGACCCTTGATGAGGTGGATTAATTCCGTGACTGGGGTAATGCAGGTAGGTGTGTCAGAGACAATAAGATTGGCACAGGATAGAGCAGGGTTTGGGGTTCTTGTACAGAGGGTTGTTATGAGTAGCAGGTGACTCGATGGCACATGACAAGAACAATAGGATATATATCACAGGAAAGGGTTTCAAAGTTTGGTCCCATTTTGCCTTTTATAATCTTTATAACTCAGGGCTCTACACCTTGGTTTCTGACCCACCTTTAGTTGATTTTTATGCATCATGTGAGATGTGGATTCTTTTTTGGTATCTTGCAAGTAAATGTCTAGTTTTGCCAGCAGCAATTGTCAAAGAGGTTGTTGTCCTCCCACTTGATAAGTTTTGTTCCTTTGTCAAATGTAAATTGACTGTAGGTAGATTTCTAGGTTCTCGATTCTATTCCATTGGTCTATGTGTCTGTCATTGTACTAATGTCATGCTGTTATGATTAATATTGCTGTGAAGTGAGTTTTAAATCAGGGAGTGCTATGTCTCTCATGTAATTTTTATTTTTCAGAAGAGGTTTGTTTATTTGAGATCTCTTTCCTTTCCAAATACAACTACAAATTGTCTTTTATATCTCTTTGAAGAATGAGTTTGGTATCTGTATTGGATTTGTATTGAACCTGTATATTATGTTTGGTATCATTGTCATTTTCACTATGTTGAATATTTCCATGAACAGGGAATATTTTTCCATTTAGTTAGGTCTCTTATTGTTTCTTGTAGTAGTGTTTAATAAACATTTGGCAAAAACATTTCAGATTTGGGTTTCATTCTGTAAACTTTGTTTACAGAATACGATAGGATCTTCACAAGAAAAAGACTGTTAACTCAATAACAAAATGGGCAAAAGATTTTAAAAGACATAACATTCAGTTCGCCAACAGATGAAGAAATATTCTAAATCACTGGCAATCAGAGAGATTCAAATCAAAACAATGAGATAACGCCTCACCCTTGATGTAAAGTCTGACAGTATAATAAGCAATACATTTGGGACTGAATGCAGAGAGACTGAACATTCAAGAACTGCGAGTGGAACTGTAAAATGGTACAAGCATTCTGAAAGGCAGTTTGGCATTCTATCAAAAGCTGGACATAGAAATCCCATATGACCCAAGTATCCCACTGCTAGAAATAAATATACCCCAGGAAATCAGAACTGAGACAAGAGTGGAGAAGTATACACTTACAAATCTAGCAAGATTATTAACAGTAGTAACAAAATGGAAAAAGACCAAACAGCTCGTCAACAAAGGAGTGGACTGAGAAACTGGTACATTCACACAATGGAACACTATGTAACACTAAGAAACAATGACTTTGTAAATTACTATATAACATGGGGGAGTCTAGGGAGCATTATACTTAGTGAAATAGCACAGGCTTATAAGGACAAATACTATAAATCCATTATTATAAAAATATAAGGATAAGTGGGGAAAATGTGTATAAATATTCAAAAGTAGAAGAGGAGAAGAGACAGGAAAAGGGGAAGGAGAGAAATCATGAGGATAGCAGGCTAGTGGGTGGATGGGTGTGTGTGTGTGTGTGTGAAAAAATAGGAAAGATTCATTGAAGACTGAAAGTGGGTAATGATAGGCATGGATCAATAGTAATTAATTATGAAATACAATGTATATGAATGATTGTATAAAACACAGTGTACATGAACAAAACACACTGTAAATGAAAGTTTATATAAAACACAATATACAACCACGAAGCACAATGTATATATTAGTATGCAATCTAATAAAAAATATGGGACTGGCATTAAAAAGGAAAATTTTGAAATTTAAACTTAAAAGAAGTCCTGTCAGCAACCCTACTCCACAAGCCCAAATCAGCCTCTTGGAGAGCAGACATCAGGGCTGGATCTGATCTTAAGAACAGACATAACAAATTAACCCGTCTTCTTCCATTTTAGAAAAGTAGGTCATTGCTAAGAGAAGTGGAAATCACCTTTCAAGTTAGCATTTAAAAAATGAAATCATTTATCTGAAGCATATGGAGCCACTTTGACCCAACCTATGGCTCCAGGGGAGAACTAAAATCTATTTAGAGGGAACAAAATGAAATTTCAGAATCTAGGTTAAAAGTGGCTTAGTCCATTAAAATGTCATACTTGTGTGGGTTTTAAATTATCCTGCTTTTAAAATTGCTCACATTCTCGTAGGACTAAATAGCAATCAAGGAAATGTGTCTCATACCAAAAGATGGGAAAGGGTGGTACAGAATACACAACCAAGGAAGAGTTAACTAGCTGCATAACCATTTTAAACTTTTTGTTGTTTAGCACGACATAGTCAGGTCCTGACAGAACAAAAACACATCAGAAGGAGGTTCTTTCTACTTCCTTTGCTCCCTTCACTTCATTTAACTTGTTGAAAAGCTCATGCTGCACACAGCTTTTATCCGCATGTCAGAATTTACCCAATAACACTACTTTTCTCCTGAAGAGACTGAGATTTACAAATTAGGTAAGGAAACAAACATTTTTACTTAACTCTAATCTGTTGTCAGTAAAGTTTTCTAAGCCCTATTATTTTGGAAGTAGATGGCCAATCCTTCTTCCTGATCTGTCTTAATATAGAAGCTTTGCAGGTACCTGTACACCATAGGTGACCCTTCTGGCATTTGAAACACCAGTAAGTAGATTCTTCCTGATCTGTCTGAATACAGAAACTTTGCAGGTACCTGTGCACCATAGATGACCCTTCTGGCATTTGAAATACCAGTGGCATAACTTCCAAAATCACAACAAGCCATAAGTTACACCAGTGCAGCAGACAAGTGTGCTGGTATGAGTAACTGATAAACAAGCAAGGATGCACACACCTAAGACACAAAGTAATTATTGTTGTTGTTGTTATGTGCCGTCGAGTCGTTTGCGACTCATAGCAACCCTATGTACAACAGCCCTAAACCCTGCTCTATCCTGTGCCAAT